TTCCTAACAAATTGGTCATACTTTTTATCAGTGGGAAGTGTTGAACTGGATATTTGTACTTAGAAATAATTTAGTTTCCTGAGACTGAAGAATCAGTATTCTAGACCAATGAGATGGAAACTCAGGCTTTAGGATCAGTTCCCAAAGTCCTGATTCTGTATATGTACAACTGATGTTGTGTTCACACAAGGTAACATATATGCGTGCACCAACTTGTTATGTGATAATGAAAAGGTTAGGTTTCTGAATAAAAGACAAAGAGAAATGATGTAGTAGGGAAAAAAAGAAAAAAGTTGAAATAGAAAAGTCATAAAATCCTATATCAAGAAAGAATATATTGGATATGAATTTACTGTAATGTACCATAAATTTTTCTTACATGTAATGAAAAATAACTCAAAATAATTGGAATTGCTCAAGAAAATCCAGATGACTACCCTGGCACATGGAAATAGGAAAATTCTGTGACTTCTACCTAGCTCAAATCAGAAACATTTTTCTTTTTATAAATCCTCTCTATAAGTATGAGAGAGCAGTAGGGACACTTCAGATTCAGACACTGGAGGCAAGAAAAAGAAATCTTTAGGGAAAAGCATTCCATCACAAAACAGATCCCTCCTAGGCTTTGCCTGCTCATTAAATTATTTCAGGTTAGCTTGATAGTTTGGGGTTTTTTTTACTCCCCCCTGAGTAAAATTCATAGCATCCATAATTCAAAAGATTTTACCTGGAGTCATCTAAGGTCTCAGTATTCATTATTTCACTGTCATTGAAAGTAAATTTACAGACATTTGGAGTACACATTTTTGTAACAAATGAAGGAACATCAGTATTTTAAACCAGCTCTTCTGCCTCTGGCTGTCCTCATGCAGGTGTACCATGTGGCTTAACTGAGTAGGAGAACAAACACAACTGTTTACTGATGTGCCCCTACTGCTGGAGAACATCTTAATTGGATGTCCCTTTTCTTTTTAAATGCTTTAAGGCAGCCAACCATGCCCATTTCATTTTCTAGCCTGTAGCAAGTTCACACTGCTCACGTCACACACCGATTATACTGAAGCCATTGTATGGCACAGTAGATCCACGCTTCTGCATAATTCAGAGCTGACTTTGGACTTCCTCTTTACCTGAGGGAGAAGAGTTTATACAGACTTGTCTGTACACCGCTGACCTGGAAACCTTAGAGCTCCGACTGGATGAAAGAGAAGGGACTCACTCATATTCCCACTTGGTCTTCAGCCAAAATCACATCTCTGACAGGGTGTTTAGAAATGTCTGGACCCTGAGGAGAGCTTTGCAGGTGCTCTCCAAGTTGGCGAGCCATCATGTTGCAAGAAGAGCAACCAACTAACCTCTGACATAAGGTAGACATCCCACAGATACCAATTAGGGGATGTAATGTAGATAGCTCGCTTTTACCCAAAGCAACTCAGGAACATGCTGCACACCTTGGTTACCTGAACAGAAGAAGGAGAAACTGATGGAACTAGAGAAGAAATTTCTTTCTGTATAACACTGGACTCTAGAGGGAATTTTCTAAGGAATTATCAAGGCATCACCATATTTGGCTACTCACTAAATGTCTTGTAATAATTCTCTTTCCCCAGAGTATTTAAAATGGTGATCATTCCTAAGGACTGAGTAGTTCTGTACAGGATGCTTCTTTGAATATCTTGGTTTTCAAATTGGCCAAATATATCAGGCTGAATGTCTGATACCTTCCTCTACTGTTTAATATTTTCTCTCCTACCCTGATTGCTGTCCTTTAGCTATTTGCAGACAAGGTGATGGCATCATTTGGGCTAACAATGACCACCAGTTCATGGGAAGCATGAAAACAACAGGGAAAGAAAAAATAACCCCAAAGCTCATAGGGAAAATAATTTGGTTCTGGGTTTCATTTATATGCTCAGCTTTTAAGTATATAGAGATTATATGAGGTAAATTGCCAAACCCAGGCTATAAAGAAATTTCAAAATGCATACGGACTTTAAGGCAATATAAAGGAATTCTTGGACAGCTCCCTGAGGTTCAATGCAATTATGGTGGTTTTCTATTAATTCTGTGGAAGTGTTGTAAAATAATAACTTGGGGCAAAGAGTGGTCTTGTTTTGTATGCATTTCTGCTTCTATATCACCTCTAAGGGACTATCCCCAGAAATTTAGCACAACATTTCTTTCTAGTTTGCACTTTAACTGTTGCATTAAAGTGATTTTCCCTCTCTCTTTTTTTCCTTTTTTTTTTAACTTTCAGATCAGGCAGTTCTCTCACCACACACAAGTACAGGGCTCTGTCATAATATTTCATATCTTTACATCATCATAAAGGTCCTACTATAAATAGGACAGCAAGTATTAAAACATTTTTTCCTTACCAGTCTTCCTTACAATGTGACAGGTCCTCTGAGAATGCAAATACAAAATATGACAAAAATACGGACTGTTATCCCTGCTGGCAAAGATAATGGGCTTGGAACAACTACTGCATCAGTGTTCTCCCAGTCTTCCTCTTAGGGCACAATGTGACATGAATCTCAGGTATGGGGATTTTCTTACTGCAGAAACATCCAGAGAATCTTTATGGAGAAGAAGGGGCAGACAGCAGTGCTTGGTAACTTCATCAGAGCACTTTGATAGAGAGAAAAAGGTAGAGCAGTGGAAGGAAGATGATTGATTTTTTCTGGAACTGTGAAAAGATGTGAACAGAGGAAAGAGACGAGAAGCACAGCTCTTGGGTGAAACTGAAAGGCAAATAATAATTTTGTTATATACGTACCATGATAAAACTTTTTCTTGCGACCTTTGAAACCCTCTAAGGCCTCAAAGAACTTTTTTTATTTTTCTCAGTTCCAAGAAAAAGGCCCTGCAGTCCAAACCAGAGACCCAGCTTGTTGCTTTCCCATTCCTTTCATTCCCTTTTTATTGGCAATTGCTTTAAAATGAACACTGTTTTATGTTCACTAAGAATTTTCTTTCCAGCTTACAATGCAGTTTATGGTTTATTAAAAATAATTTAAAATATGTCATAAAATCATCTGAAAATTTCACAAAAGGCTTGCATGAAGTATGGACAAATCCTCATAGAAAGCAGCAATAAATCCTTTTGAGAAGCATGCTACCTTAAAAAAGTCACGTAAAAGTAATTTGAAGACAAACACAAACCCTAAAAGAAGTGCACAGTGAATTTTTTAGCTCATGCTCCTGATCAGTTGGAAGGTTTTATAGAGGCCACTTCTCTGACTCTTCCTTAAGAGTCTATTTACTTTCCCCTACCACTTTTTGGTGACATTCTTTCACCTTGTTTCAGAAAGGTTGTGCAAAGCCCAGCAAGTACCAAACACATAGGTCACACACTACTTATCTGCTTCCACCATTGATAATAGGTTCATCCTTTGTTCCATCCATCTTTCACACATCCATTAAGATATAATTATATAGCTATCCAGCATCCAGTAATGCTAGAGAAATTATGGGGTCACAGGATGTTTCTAAGAAAAACATTGTACACCCACTGAGATTAATGGAGCAAAAGTACTATTCTTTATAGCAGAGAGTTTCTGTAGGGTCTGGTATCACTGTTCTTTTGGGCCTTGCTAAACTGCAATGTTATCATTTCCACTGTTACCACCTAGGCTTTCCTGCACCATAAGGAAATACCTCTTTCTACTTATGAATACTTCAGGAAGTAGAGGAATGCAGATCCTGTTGGTAACTCAAAAAATTGAAAATATCACCTGTCAATCTTCCTTAGAAAGTTGAACTTTGCCAGGTCTTATGAGATGCAGACAGTTGGGGAGAAGAAGTGGACAGAACAGCATTCACATAACAGTGCACTCCTCCATAGCAAGAAATCTATTAAGTACTCTGAGTTCAACTACCTATCAGTAGGTTGCCATGTATCATATGCCATTGCCTATAGTCTGCTACTGGTTAGCAATGCTCTGCCAAGGAGCAGAAGAGCTCTCAGTTTGACATCTGCATCCTGTATCTATGCACGAAGCTTTAGGAATAAAGGTCTTTGTTAATCGATGTGCTGCTTCCTCTATTGTGTCTCTCGGGTCTCTGGTGCCTTTTTGTAGGATAGGTTTTCTGATACTGAAATAATATTTTATAGCTAGTAGTGTTGCCTCTGCCTTGCAATGGCATATGTAAAGAGATATAGAAAATGATTTCAAAAGGAAGCAAAGTGAGCTGGGAAAGCAAAAAGGCAGGCAACTGCTGACCAAGGAACAGTCCTTTGGTACACAAACAGAAAAAATTAACTGGAAACAACTTTCTAATGTAAACGAGTCTTATGCATTTCTGTGTCTTTAATAGTCTCTGGTTAAGCAGAGTAAAAGATTTCTCCCATTTTAAAATCATATTTAAGCTTGCATAGGCTGTGCAGCTAGACAAGTTTGGGAAAAGAGAAATTGTCTCAAAATTTTGTCCAGAAGTAGATTATACATTTTGAGTGTCTCATCTACAAGTGTTTATAGGCACTGCTCCATTATCTAGATCCCATATTATGGCAGAAGTACAAACTACCTCTCGCTGACTACAGATTTAAGACAATGCAAACCTCTTAGAAACCAGTAAAATCAATGTCAAGCTTTTCACATACATCTCTGGGCATGATTCCTATTGGATGAATCTGGCACTGAGTAATTGCACTGGATTTAATGCAACCTTTTGTAAGCTTGTGGAGGAATGTATGCAATAAATGAATCAAGCAAATTAGGCACTCATTAAATCCACAAGTAGTTAAATTCTATATAAGTAAAACTCAGGCTCATGAAGTCAAACATGTAGTAGCTCCAGATACAGGTGATTTAAACAGTGCATGAAGAAAACAGGAGTCCTTGTTTTGGGTATTCCAGGGTTTTTTTAGGAGTGGAATGAGCTGCGATGAGGTTAGGTGGGAAGACAGTGCTGAATGAGATCCCTGAATGCAAACACTATTTTCTGGTTTTGTGACATGGAAAAAGAAAGTGGTTGAACTTTCTATTTGTACTCACTCATTGACTCTGTCAATCTGGCCATCTCTCTTTCTCTTTTGGGCTTCTCCTGGGGGAACAGACAAAATAAAAAGCAAACATATATATATATAATATGTATATATATACAAATACACTTGACTGCAAGTGACAATGAGAGGAAAGGACATTAATCCTTTATGTATTTCTATTTTATGTAGAATTTGAACTTTACTCCTAAAGTAAAAGCAGAGCCTGCACCTCTGCGTTTGGTTTGGGTTTTTTATTGTAACCTCTGGATTGTATCAACTATGAAGAGTGAAATTTGTATTTTTTTTTCCGTGTGTGTGCGCGTATCTAGCTGGAGTAATTGAAGATATTCAATATAATGGAGGAGGAAATCCTCTGTTTTTTACTCTGCACTAAAATTTGCAAGTCTGTTAGGGCTTCTTGACAAAAGATATGGAAATGGCCATCACACAGAACAGATACACTGAAGGAAAGAAGCTGCTTATTTAGAAATAAATAAATTTCATACAGAAGCCAGAGTGACTGGGATAGTACTAGGTCTGACACTGAGATGAACTGACTGAAGTACTATTTCATTTGATACAAGAGGGACTCCCAATGAAACCTGCTTGTCTTTGTTACTTGTCTGGGGCAGCATTTTTTAAATCCAGTTTTGTTTTCCCATTTCATACACTTGTAGCTGTTCTAACTAAGCCTGTTCTGGCAGAAGGCTTGGTCAATCAAAAGCCCTTGGATTTGGTGGATTTCCCCTTACCAATGCCCCAAAGCAGGCCTCAGCCAGAGCAATGAAGGCTGAGTCTAATCTTCTGATTCCAGAGCCAAAGTTTGGGCTGAATTAAACATTCAGCCCTTCACAGCCCTTTAAACCCTAATTATCTGGTTTTGAGAAGATGTGGTGGGGCTGCTGTCACCGTTATGACCCCTGAAACTGTATAAGCATCTTCTGTGACAGTCCCAGCCCTGTGGGAAAGCAGAGTTAGCGGCTACCCGTCCTTTACCCCACAGCTGTCTTCAAAATGCAAACAGACCAGCTGTTCATGTGTTTTAACTACAGCTGACACAGTCCAGTTGGAAAAGCCAAAGGGAAAAGGGCCAGATGTCAACACTTATTAACAATTGATGTGGGAGCCTGCCTCCACCTCTGTCAAGGCAGCAAGAGAGGGTCTTGGGAGCCATAGATGTACAGACGGCAGCTCTTGATCCAAGCAACCTTTTTTCCCTAAAAACTTCATTAGAGGAGAGCATTTGCTCCAAACTATGACTTTAATGGGCAGCAACACCAAACAGATACCCCCTGCCTCCTGCATCAGCTCTGGGAAAAGGTGCAGGTTTCTGGTCAGGATGGTCTGCAGTAGCTGCTATGTATAGGGACCGGATTGAGCATGGTGGCATCTCTCTTTGGCTGGGTCTATATCAACAAACAACACTGAGGCAAGCCATGGGCTGAGAATGGTATTAGAATGGTCCCTGCCACACATTATTTGACAGTATAGGCATAGTTTTCCAATTCTATTTAGCTATGAAGTGAGCAGGCCCTGTTGCAGAGGTGCTAGGCTGTCACAAGAACTACCCTTCCTGCTTTATTTAAAAGAGTAGGATCATCTCATAACTTGAAAGAAGGTAAAGTCTGTCCATCTCTGTCTTACCCCAGCACTGGCTTTACCTAGTTCAAAAAAATCTAAAAGGAATATTTTCCACATCAAATGCTATTACTTGCCCTTCAGAAAGCTAGACTTCTGCTAACAAAAAGCTCATATATCATAGTAATAGGAAACATTTTAACACATGAAACAAGCAGATAATGCTTCAAAACTGTATGTATACCCCTTAGAGCATTTCATATTAAGAGAAAGGTTTAAGGTTATGTCCTGAATCTGTAGTGAGGTTAATGCCCTAAGCCATGCTGATAATGCAGCATTCAGCACCAGATTCATGCATTACTATGAAAAGAAAAAAAGGAGGAAAAAAGAAGTAGTACAACAGTACCCATTAAAAAAACCCAAAATATCCCATATGGCAATTTCTTGCTCAGTATTAATCATTAAATGAATGCACAGCACTGTGAAAAATGATCAGTAATTTGTGTCCATATTGCTTTATAGTGTGACCCTAAACCACTTCTTTTCAGTGAAGAACTTACAGTTTATCAGGAATGATCAGCTGGGGAAGATCAATGTTGAGCCCTGAAGAGGGAAGGTTGGATTTATTAAACTAATAAGATTTTAAATATTAATATTTTGCTCTTGAATATTAATAAATACTTTTTAATAATTATGAGTTCTATCATAAGGACATAGACTAGAATGTAATTTCCTTTTACTGTGAAAGTATTAAGTATAATATATAAGGAGAAAATTAAATTATTATGTTTTTAAGCCTTTGAATCAAATATATACCAAGCTAATAATAAAATATTTGTTTTGAAGAAGCTGGTAAAGGCAAGCACTAACAGAATGTAGTTCTTCCTCCAGTAGTGGACTGAGGCCACTGACAGGTAAGCACAGAAACTTTCACATGTAAGAGCCTGCATATCTTCACTGCAGCAGTTAGAGCATAGCAGACTAAAGAAGAAAGCTGAATTTCTATGTTTAGGATACTGCCACCTGTGTTAGTTTCCCTATTAGAGAGATAACATGAAATGGCAGCAAGATTCAACTAATTCCTGCATTTGAAAATATTGAAAGAGTTTGGTTTACTTTTCCTAAGAGAAATGACCAGAGCTGCTGAAGTCCTGCTCCTACTTCCTTGGAGGATAAAAGATATTCTTGTGTGAATGTTGTTTTTCAAAAGGGCACTTTAGAAAATAGACATCCTATTTTCCAGGTACTCTATTAAAAATATATATATTTTTTTTCTTTTTTTACTTCTATCACTGAAGTTTAAAATCTGTATGAAATTATTATCTCAAGTTTTGCATTTTTCCCTTTCTCTAATGGTCACTAGTATGTGCACACATCCACACTATGAAGTTCTCCTGGAAAATCTAAGAAATTTTTTCTGCTTCTCTGTTTTATTAAAATGGCATATTTTGCTGTAAGAAATTTGGTTTTTGATGGCAGATAAAGAAGGAATTCCTTCCTTTCTGGTGGAATGAGTTCTAACACATTAATTTTGGAAAAATAAGCATTAAAGCAAAACATATTTTTGGTCATAGCATCAGTAGCTGTGATTTTGAATATAGACTGACAGCAGAGAAAGACTTGTTGTCATTTTTAAAAAACAGGCAAACAACACAGTGTTTCATTTCAGAACAGAACTTGCCTTTAAGGGTAGACTGCGGTAGTGTTCCCTCTGGAACACTGGGTAAACCAGAATTGCCACCTCAGAAAGCACATAAAGAAAAGCAGGCCTTTTTTTTCCTTCCTTCCTAACACAGTGAGCCTCATTTTTATTCCCCCCTCTCCTCCTCTTCTTTGTAGCTATGTAGTCAGCATGGAGTGATTTCTGCAGGGGTTGACTGTGTTTTCTGCTGTTGCTGACTGTGTACCTATTCTGGGGCCAAGAACTGAAATCTGTCACAACCTGAGGGGAGAGGCAGATACAGGCTGCTCTGGTAAAAGACTGGACTGTGTGCAGACCTGTGCTAGCAGCCACTCTTGCATACCTGTGTGAGGCGACTACCATCTTCCTGGGTGCATAAAAAGCAAGAAATCCTGCTCTTCATATTTTAAATGGTATGCATTTAAAATGCAAGTCATATATTATATTGTTTTGATGCAGGAAGGGATGTGTGAAATATAAATTGGAATTGGTATGTGAAGCATGTTAACTTCAGCTAGCAAAAATGGCTATTTAAAATGCTTCTTTATATTTTTTTGCACTGTTGGTAAGGTCTTTCATTCAGCTGAGGGTATAAGAAAGAAGTTGCAAACTCTCCTTTTCTAATGGAGTGGTTTTTCTTTTTTTTTATCTTTTTTTTTTTTGAGGTATTTCCTTCATTTATTCTTCCTTCATACAAATGAACAGTTGCCCAGTCCTACAATACCTCAAGACTGTGGTGCTCTGTCTTGCACTGAGTTTATTCTTAAATTATTATCATGCTGTTGCAACATTCATGGGTTTACTGTGATGCTCTAAGTACAAACACAAGAAAGTGTGGCTTTCGCATCACTCTTTCCCTTCTCAGACAAATAAAACCAAGCACCTTTGTATAAATCTCTTTTTGCCTGACTTCCCATGCTGCATGGTCTGACGTAGGTTCTGTCAGAGGATGACCAAGATAGGTGACAGTAATGACAAGGCAATGCAGACTTAACCTTTTCAGGGTCATGCATGAGCAGAGAATGAAAACTGCATCAAATTCCAGATATGAATCAAAACATGGAGTACCCAGGTCACTTGTCTTGTAAGGAAAATTCTTGGGCAAGAGAGTACATTATATTGTAATTTTTCTAATGGAAGGACATGGTCACTTCCTGTAGCTTCCTCTTCAGTGGCTGTTAGCTTCAGCTGGCAGAAATCAATGAGTTTGCTATCCTTGTTTTGTTTGTTTGCTGCATGGCTAAAACTTTTGCCAGTTCACAAGTGCAGAGGTGCACTAACATCCTAGGAACCTATCGAACTAGTATAGAACTTTGGCTAAAAATTTCCAGTGGTATTTTGTCAGTCTGGTAATGGCTAAGCTATGGATCAGAACTCAAACACATTATATCCATTACACATACATTTTGTTAAGGTTTGTCACTTTTGAAAGTCGTTCAGAAGCAAATCCCTAGTAATTTCATTGATATATCCTTTAAGGCAATAGCTATGCAATCACTAAATGCAAATTCAATAAGCAAGATGGAAAAGAACCTTTTCTGAAATACTAGCTTAGAGTAATGTATCTTGGGATACCTTAAATTACTTTTCAAACTACATGGAAATGGTGTTATGTTGGAAACACTATTAAATGAGAATTATAGAATTTCATTTTATATAGTGTCTTTCATGTTCGTGACATCCTCAAATGCTTTACAGTAATGAATTAGATACTGGTTGTTAGGCAATGGTGTGTAGGCAAATGCTGCACTCATTATGTGGTATTCATTTTAGCAATAGCCTACACTCAGCTCTCAAAAG